TTAATATACTGCTTCCTGAAATGAGCCAGTGTTGGCCAATTCCTTTTAGTACAGTAACTGTATATTCCTTCCATATTCTTTTGATACTTCCTGCACCATTCATTCATTATTTCCCTCACAGAATTCTTCAGTATCGCAACTCTTTTTTTTTTTCCCCTTCCTATTCTTTTTTTTTTTTTCTATAATTATATTTTATTAATTTTCATAAACATTTACAGAGATTTTAGAGTGGCCCTGTTATCATGGAAAGGTTATTAGAATCCTTTTCCAGATGCGAGGAACCATAATATGCATTATTTTAAGACTTGTCAAATGTAGATGGGCTCTTAAAAAACTTGGTTTCTCCTTGGAACGTACTTACGTGGAGTTTTAGAGGGGTGTGTAATTGGAGTTGCTGAGTTTTGCCCACAGCTCACCAAAGCACATCGCTTCACATGTTAGTTACCCATGCACTGTTCTGTCCCTGCAGCCTGTGGCTAGGACTCACACCAGTTAGCAGGTCATTGATGGCTGTAGAAGAGACGGGCAGCAGGCAGATGGGAGCCCAGAGAGCGCTGGGGTTGACTGAGAGTAGAGAGCCTTTCTGAATACAGAGAGGCATCAGAAAAGGTCTTGTGTCCGGCCAGCCATTTAGTAAGTGAAGCAATGAAGTCACATTAATAGGGAATTTTACCTTACTGTATTTTTGACACTCTTCTGCCCTGCAATAGCTTACAAACCATAATGGTAAAGTGCCGTCATGCGTGTGTAAAGAGTGAGTGAGTGCTGAATACATGGCATTTTCAGTCAATCTCTGGCACATAATAGGTGTTCAGTAAGTGTTCCTGCTGTTTCTGTTCCTATGATTAGTATTAGAATGTTTTGTTATAATCTTAGATACAGTTATAATCTTGACACAGTTGCCTAACCACTGATCAAGTAAATCTCCGAAGCTGCAAGTTAGTAGCCATGTAGCCATGCTTTACAGGAGCTTGTGTTTCCTTCTATGTTCAGGAATCCTCAGAGCCAGGCACGGTACACATCCATCTGAGAAGTTGCCGCGGTTGCCTCTGCCTCCTGCTGCTGTATCTTCACAATTACCACGCACTTGTGTGCTGTCCTCTCTGACTTCTCTGCTCCTCTGCTGACTTTATTTCAGTCACCAAAAAAGTTTCTTCTGCTTTTAATTTGCGGATGACCCCTTCTGACTCTCTCTTTTTCTCTCTCTCTCTCTCTTAAAACTGCAGTGTAAGAGACAGCTGCAGGGCCGTGGTTCTTGTTTGTATCTTGATTCTTTTTTTATCTTGTTCCGGGCAGATCAAGTACATGCGCATTCAAGGCAAACCGACATTTGAACAAAAATTTAACCTTTAGATAGCACAGAATTTTTCTTATTCTGTGTTGTTATGTGCCGTTGAGTCACTGATTTGAAAACATTGTTATTTATTAATGGTTTTTAGGCATGTGTGAGGTTACCTTCTTCCTAAGAAGAAAATCCAACCAATTTTTCTCCTCCAAAGGTGGCCTGGTGATTGAGAAGCAGTGCTTTGATCCTAACTGCACACACATTGTTGTGGGCCACCCGCTTCGAAACGAGAAGTATCTGGCCTCGGTGGCGGCTGGGAAGTGGGTGCTTCATCGCTCCTACCTGGAAGCATGCAGGACGGCCGGGCGCTTCATGCCGGTGTGTAGTCCCAGGGCAGGGGAGGCTCGTTTTCTGTAGGCTGGAACCCAAGACCATACACTGCTCCTTCATGTAATTGGATAGCATAATATAACCAAGTCGGTTATACCAGTCATTTGAAGATAGCCTAGTGGGTAAGGAGTGGTGCTGCCATCCCAGAGTCAGAGAGTTCAAGTCCACCAGCTGCTCCCCAGGATGAAGATTGGCAGGTTCTTTTCTTGTGATTGGCAGTCTGAAAACATGCTGCAGGATCAGCTAGGAGTTACTTCCAACTTGGTGGCACATAGCAACTGCAATAACCTTAACAAAGTGGAAAAATACAGAGATCACAAGCTGATTCCTAGCTGGCTTTGTGAAAATGATTTCATTAAAATGGGACTGATGTAACTGATTACTAAAGGTTAAAAGTTAATAGTAGTTATAGAAGGTTTCCGTTAAGGAACTTTTTTGTAAACAGGTCAGTGAACTTCTGATACCTGTCTTCTCGAGACTGTCCCTCTGTGAGAGTAGAAGCCCAGTATTCTAAATGGTTCCAGTTGCCAGATATCATTATCTGTAAGTTTCTTAGAAAGGTATATAATATTATTCTGAATTACACTTAAAAGCCAGATATTCTGGACTGTCATGTGTCAAAATCTACCTGCATTTTTACCATTATATATATATATATAATTTTAACAAGTAATGCATTAAGAAAGGCAGTAATAATAGCAGAGCTTTGTAGGAAGTTTGAGATCCAAGAGTAGAAGGGCAATGTTTGTTTTTTCTTCATCAGTAGTAAATGAGAATTTTGTCAGATACTTAAAACAGAAAACCATATTTGGAACAATGAATCTATAAAATGCGAAGCTACTGTTACTACATCAATATGAATACAGGTCCTGCAGACAGCTGTGTGCTTCTGAAAGCAGACAAGCAATGTACACTATTTTTTTTTTTTTAATTTCAAGAATTCTTTTTTTTATCATATTTTTTATTCCTTTTAATGAACATTTACAGAGACTTTGGATTTCCATTCATTCATTGTTGCACTTTTCTCCCTGCCCACCCCTGTATATGGATAGCTGTTAATGTGTTCGAGAATACAGGCCCCTTGAGGAGAGGAACCTTTGTGGCGTAGCACGGTGGCTCCCCCTCTTGTGGGAACTCAGAATTGTTGCGCTCATTCTCCAGGAAGAAGACTATGAATGGGGGAGCAGTTCCATCCTTGATGCTTTGCCTGGAATCAACATGCAGCAACAGAAACTAGCAATTGCAGCGATGAGATGGAGGAAGAAGATCCAACAGAGACAAGAAAATGGCATTATTGAGGTAGGAGCGCGCGTGAGATGTAGATACAACACGTGTCATTCAAAGTCAGACTATAGCAGATTCTTTTTAAAGATAAGAAATTTAACCAAATAACAACTCAAAGATAGGTTGCTGTTACGTTCTGTTGAGTCGCTTACGCCTCTTAGCAACCCTATGTACTACAGCCCTGAACTCTGCTCTGTCTTGAGCCCACGTCATTGTCTCTGACACAGCTACCCCTATTATTTCAGTCTTGGTGTGTTTGATTTGAGTATGATTAATTGAACCTAATGTTGATTCTTCATTGTTCAAACTATCGTTGATAGTGAGATATATTTAGTACTGGTGCCTTTTTACAAGTAATGTATGTGTGCCACATACAGCCCATACTATATTTCTTACAAAGAATCTTTTCAGCATCTAACTTTGAGTGTTCTTTATCTAGAGTCCACTGACTCCCTAAAGCAATTTTTTCTTCAAATTGGGAAGTTTATAAAGTTTGGATTGAGGAGGGGAGAGGTAGATTTATTTTCTTGTTTTTGTGTACCAGCAAGTTGGAACCGAGTCATAGGTGACCCTCCAAGTGGGTTTTTAGAAGCAGTAAATTGCACGGGAGGAGATTGCCCATCTTTCTTCTGTGGAGCAGCTGGTGGATTTGAACCGTGTGTCTTTTGGGATTGCAGTGCAACACTTACCATTAGGCCACCAGCGCTCCCTAATTTCTTCTTCTTACTGTTACATGCCATCAGGTCTCTTACAACTCATAGCGACCCTGTGCCCAGTAGCTCAGAACCCTACCCTATCCTGAGCCAGTCTGTCTCTGACACTCCTAGCCCCATTACCCAGACACTGTATCAGTCCATCTCATCCAGGGTCTTCCTCTCCTGTGCCATCCCTCCACCCTTCCAAGCATAATACCCTTCTCCAGTGTCCCTCCAGGCAATATGCTTACTAACCTGTAATTAAACTTTAGTGTTCCTTGTAAGCATAGACAACAAACCCTAGCACCACTAGCAGGACCTGTGAATTTGCCCCTGGGAATCAGATCTTTTGTTACAGGGCAGGAGACCTGGTAGCACAGTGGTTAGGTGCTTAACTGTGAACCAGAAGGCTGTTGCTTCCAACCCACTGGCTGCTTTGTGGGAGAAGAGTGTGCCAGTCCCCTTCTTAAGATACAGCCTTGGAAACACCGTTGGACTATTCAGCTCCGTCTTACAGGCTCGCTCAAAACTCAGCTCAAGCTCATTTCTTTTGAATCGGAACCTGCCCATGGCTGACCCTCCAGTAAAGTTTCGGAGGCTGTGAACTGCATGGGATGAGATGGCCCATCTTTCTCCCCAGGAGATCTGGTGGATTCAGAGGAGCAGAGGGGCAGCCCTTGAATCAGCCCAGCCTCTACAGACTGCACTGCCGTGGCTCCCATAGGGTCCTTGTGAGCTGGATGTGGCTTGATGGTGATGCTGTTAGAGGTGTAGGTGTCTTGAAATCTTAGCTGTTCAGCACTAGTTTAAAATCCTAATAGTTAATAAGACAGGGCTGAGACCTACAACTAGATCTCATGATTAAATGCCTCTCTGGGGGGTTTCCCAAATGAATATTTCCATACCTTTCAGTCAATTCCTTTGTAATCCCTTGGGTTTTATTTAAAGCATTTAAAAACATCACTCATAGAACATGAAAAAATCATGTTATTTTCTTTTTTATTATTTAGATTGCCAGTTGGGTCCAGGACTAACGGAAAGGTTAATACCCGAGTTAAATAATCTTTCATACTGTATTCTGAGTTCTCTGATATTGCCAAATCTTTGTTGGTTTTGATTTTCTTACTTTTAGAGTAAATTCAGTGGCTTCTGTTGTTATTTCCTATGTGAAAACTTTTATCTTTTTAATTTGTTAAAGTTTTTGAGAGATGGTGAAGAATTTATCTAGTTCAAGAAGGTGTGCCTTTATGGACTAATTTCAGTCAAGTATGAGGAAAAATAATACGAGAAAGGACTAAACATCTGTGAGGCTGCTTCGTTTTACTGTTCCCTACTCATTAAACCATTTTAAAACCAAGTGTTTTATTGCTGGCCAGCTGTGTCAAGGCACAGGACTTGTTTTCTTCAGCGTGTTCTGATTCCAGTTTGTGCTGTGGCAAAATAATAGTTATAAGATTGCTCATTGTCAAAATGCTTCTCATTTCTCTTCCAAACTACTTCACTGCTGCTTTTGTTTCTAGGGAGCTTTTAGTGGATGGAAGGTTATTTTACATGTCGATCAGTCCCGAGAAGCAGGATTCAAACGCCTTCTTCAGTCAGGAGGAGCAAAGGTTTGTATTTAATCCCTTTACTGCCCTTTTCACTGAGCTAAGTCTGCTGTGATCCGTTCTTGATTTTCTGGACTTTGTGAGAGGGGAGTTCATGAACACTATTTCAAGAGTAAAAAATGGGACATGAGGACAGAGGGACACTCTGAAGAGTTTTTCTCTGGAAGGACCAGAGGGAGTGAGATAGCACCACCCCTCACGGCCCCAGAACAGAAAGCAGATAAAAGATGAAGAGCTCTTAGCCCAGCCCCATCCTGGAGCCACACCAGCAGCAAGAGGTTTGTTTCTTCATTATCGATTCACAGGCTGTGCTACTAAGAGTGGGGTATATTAGAGAAGTAAGTTGGAGAGTGGAGAGGCAAAGACTATCACCTAATGTAAGTTCAGGTTTTAGCCTAGCAGTCCCAAGGCACAATTCCTCAATTCGTCCAGGCTCCAATTTCAGTTCAACAATCTGCTTTTCCTTCCATCATCCAGCAAGGACAGCAAAACCTGCAACTATGTCCTCTGTGTCAGGGCTCCTCTGGTTACACCTTGCCAGTTTCTCCACAGCAATGTCACAGTCTCTCCACCACCATCACCAGGGTCTTGTTCTCATCAGCGTCATGCTCCAGTCTCTCTCAAGCCTTGCCTCCTAGTGTGGGAAGCTCTTGTGCTCACTCGCACACGCTCTGTCTCTCTCTCTCACTCTCACACTCTCACTTTCTCACTCTAGTCCCACAGCTGTTGATAATTTGTAAGACTGTTTATCTGCAGTTAAGGTAGCTGGCGACCAGAGGGGACTAAACCTAGAAAGACAGCTTTTAGGCTAACACCGCAAATACCTGTTAAATGAGTTGAACCAGTTTGCGGCCTTGATAGATGGTGATACTGCTTCTTTGTTTTATTAGGTGTTGCCTGGCCATTCTGTATCTTTATTTAAAGAAGCCACACATCTCTTTTCTGACTTCAATAAACAAAAACCAGATGACTTTGGAATTAACGTAGCAGAAGCTGCTGCCCAGAAGGTGTTCTGCTTGAAGACAGAATATATCGCTGACTATCTGATGCAGGTTTGTGGGACTGTGTTACTGACTTCCACAAATGCACTGTTTTTATGCTTTTTTTTATTTCTTTAGAAAAACCCTTGACTTGTTATTAAGCCAGTAGGCTCCTTTTGTTCTTTTAGTCATCTTTCCAGTTTAATTCTATTTTTCTCAAATAATGAGCACATACATGTTCATTGGAAGTTAAAATACAAGGAGGATATAAAAACCTGGGGATCTCTTCATGCCTTAATAATAGTCCTTAAAATGTTGGGATATAGGGGAAGCGGAATGAGTTGCCGGAAGTCCAAGGAGAAACATTTACCTAGTGAGCCTTTAGTTTTTATGACTTTTTATATTGATTGATGTGCAGTAAATGCCCATGTTAGGAGCTATGGCGAATGAAGCCTTTTACTCCCTGCAGTCATATTCAGACTTGGTCTCTGTCGTGGGATTTGAAGGGGAAAATTCTTCCCGTACTCCTACAAGAAGAGAAACTGAAATGTCAGGAATCAGCGATGATACATTATCAGAAATGTCTTACTGCAAAGGATTTCAAACAGAATTGTGTGAAAAGGGGGGAAGTCAGGCCTCAGTTGATCTGCTAGTTTTGCTGTTTATGTTTAGGAAGGCTTCGAATTTACCGGGAAGAATGCCCAAAACACAACCTGGACACCTTTGTCATAAGACAGTGAGGCATACTGATGAGGAATTGTTGCTGTTAGGTGCCATCGATTGTGACTTACAGTAAACTACTGATCTGAACCTTCCCCTGAGCTGCACTACCACCATGATCTCCACCAGGCTCAAACTCACTGGTACAGTCAGTGCGTCTGTCTGTCTTGTTGAGGGTCTTCCTCTCTTTCTTTGACCCTCTGCCTTTCCCAGCGTGTTACCTTTTTCTGAGGCCTGACCTCTCCTGAAAACATGTCCTTGTACCTTTGAGATGAAGTATAAGCAAAATCGTTGGGGTGTCGTATGTGTCTTTGTGACATTTCCAGAAGTGAATATTGGCTTCATTCACCTCTTCACTCATATTTATAGGTAAATCTTAATATTCTGTCTATTGTCTTGTATTACCCGCCAATGTGTATCAAAGCTGCACGAAAAATGTTCATTTTTATCTTAATTGTTTAGTAAAAGTGTAAAACTTAATCACGAAGTCATGGAGGAGGATTAGTTATTAGAAAACAAACAGTTGAATCACTTAATAGAACTATTTCTATTAAGTTGATAATTGGTGGTGTTGGTAGTAAGTACACAGTGATCCGTGGATAGCAGACCTGAACCCTGCCCTGTCCTGCGCCATCCTCATCATCTCTGACATCCTCGTGCCGCTTCCTGCAGTCACTGTGTCAGCCCTTCTATCGAGGGTCTTCCTCTGCTTCACTGACCCTCTACCTTTCCAAGCGTGGTGCCCTTTTTCAAGGTCTGACCTCTCTTAACAAATTAACAACATATCCACAGTATATGAGTCTGAGCTTCACCATCCTTGCCTCCAAGGGGTACTGGTTGCCCTTTATCCAGGACATGCCTGTTTCTTTTGGCAGTCCATGGGATACTCAGCACTCTCCTTCACCACAACTCAGAGGCATCAATTCTTAATTCTGTCATGATTATTCATTACCTAATTCTCAGATGCAAGTGACTGAAAAGACCATGACCTCAGTCAGGCAACTTTAGTCTTCAAACTGACATCATTGTTCCTGAGTCATTTGGAAAGGGTCCTGACAACAGACCTGCCCAGTACAAGACGTCTCCTGATCTTCTGACTGCTGGTACCAGGGCTGTGGGCTGTGGATTCAAGAAAGATGAAATCACTTGACAGTTTCAATCTTTTCTCCACCTGCCATGATGTCACCTATTAATTAGCTCAACAACTGAATGTAAAAGCCTCAGTCAGATCATCTTAAGTGAAACTTGGGTTATGTTCACCTGCTTATTTAATAATTTATTATATTTCCTTCTTGTTGTCCCACAGCTCACCCTCTGCCAGGTTTTCAGAGACAGTTAATTGCTCGGGAAGAGACTGCCCATCCTTCTCCCATTGAGCAGCTTGTAGATTAAAAGCCAAGCCCGCTGCTGCTGAGTCATTTCCACCCCATTTTTGGTTAGCGGCCTAGCACTTAGTGTGCTCCGCCACCCCCCTGACGCACTGCCCTCAAGGGAGCGCCAGCTCACAGCCACCCTCCGCTCAGTGCCCAGACGGCAGAGCTCTGTGGGAGGAGTGGCCCATCGTCAGCTCACAGCCACCCTCCGCTCAGTGCCCAGACGGCAGAGCTTTGTGGGCGGAAGTGGCCCATCGTCAGCTCACGGCCACCCTCCGCTCAGTGCCCAGACGGCAGAGCTCTGTGGGCAGAAGTGGCCCATCGTCAGCTCACGGCCACCCTCCACTTAGTGCCCAGACGGCAGAGCTCCGTGGGAGGAGTGGCCCATCTTTTCCCACAGGGCTGGTGGATTGCGACTGCTGACCTTAAAGTTCACAACCAGCAGGGCTCCTTCAGCATGTATCAAGAGCTGTTGAATATGGAAGCCAAGATACCAGCCGTTAAAAAGAAATGCGCTGCATTGTGAAGAAATAATACCCACAGAATAGTTGAAATTAATTCCTTTAACTTAGGATATTAAATTAATAACCCAAGTAGCAGCAAAGGGGCACATCCTATAAAAAATGTAGTCTTTAAAAATTATGTTCGTGTATGGGAAAATACCTAATACAAAGCAAACCCTTACCTTGAGTTTATACAGCATGATCGTAACTCTATAAATGAAACAATGCTTTTTAAAATGGGGGACAGAGGGCTAGTAAAAAAGATGGGAAGGAAATATGCCAGAATATCAATAGTTAAGATAACTATGCTACTAATTTACCTGCTTCCTTGAAAATTTTTTTGCACGTCCCAAATTCTCTGCAGTGCACTTGATATACTTCTAAATTCATCCACCATATTTTTCATTCCAAAAGTTTATAAGTTGATTCTTTTAAAAATCTAGCTATTCCCTTTTTGTGCTACTTTGTTATGTAAAAAAGATGAATTTTAGGGAATATTATATATATTTGCTTTCACACATATCTATCCATCTTTTCCTTCCTCCTTCATTTCAAAGTAAGTTGCAGATATTCCATATACTTACGCATGCTGTTAACTAGAACCTAGTATTTGTTCATAGCTCGCTCTTTTTTGCTTTGGAAAGAAATGACTACGAAATGGAATGCATGCTACTTAAGTGTACCATTTTATGAATTCTGTTATGAATATACTTGTGTTATCTAAACCCTATCAAAATACAGAACATGAATATCACATTTGGTCATTCCCTCATGCCCCTTTCTTGGTAAGTCCCTAACTCCAAGTCTGTACAAATAGCATTTTCTGATGCTTTCCCCACCCGCCCCCTCCATCTTGAGTTACTTTTCCCTTTTCTAGAACTTTAGATGATAAGTGGGTTATATGATATGTACTGTTTGATGACAGCACCTTGCTGAAGGTGAGGAGGAATTGAAGCACTTGTTTCAGAAGATCAGAGAATATATCCATCAATATGGATTGCATCTCAAAATCAAGAAAACAAAAACTTTTACCACTTGACCAATATGCAACCTCATGATAGATGGTAAAAAGATTGAAACAGTCAACAACTTTCTCTTACTTGGATCCACAGTCAACACCCTTGGTACCAGCAGTCAGGAATACAGGATATATATTGCACTGAGAAAATCTACAATTAAGAACTTCTCCAAATTACTGAGGAGGAATGATGTCTGTTTGAGGACTAAGGTGCGTCTGATTCAGGCCATGGTCTTTCCGGTCACTTTTTATGCATCTGAGAGCTGGACAATGACTAAGGATGACAGAAGAATTTATGCCTTTGAGCTGTGGTGTTGGAGAAGGGTACTGAGCATCCCATGGACTGCCAAAAGAATAAACAAAATTCTGTCTTGGAGAAAGTGCAGCCAGAGTGCTCCCTGGAGGCAATGTGGATAAAGCTTCATCTTATATGCTTGGGGCATATTGTTGGAAAAGGCTATTTCTTGGAGAGGGACATTATGCTTGGAAAGGCAAAGGAAGAAAAGACCCTCACAATGTGCTCTAGTGTGTCAGGAAGTGTGAGGATGGCACAGAAGAGGACAGGGTTCAGATTTGTTGGTCATAGGTTCATTTTGGCTCCTGATAACGAGCACTGATGTTGGTGTGGACTCTAAGGTGCACCTGATCCAGGCCATGGTCTTTGCAGTTACCTGCTATACATCAGAGTGCTGAACAGTGACTAAGGATGAGAAAAAAGGATCGATGCATTTTAGTTGTGGTGTGGTGCTGGAAAACAATGTTGAACATACCATGGACTGCCAAGAGAATAAACAAGTCTGTCTGGGAGAGTGTAGAACCAACTTGCTTCTTGAAGGCAAGGATTTTGAAGCTCCATCTCACATACTTTATACTTGTGGCCAAGAAGGACCAGTCCTTGGAGAAGGACATCATGCTTGGAAGGGTGGAGGGACAGTGCAGGAGAGAAAAACCTTGGATGAGATGGATTGACACAGTAACTGGGGCAGTGGGGATAGGTGTGTCGGAGACCTGTGAGGTTGGCTCAGGCGAGGACCAGGTTCAAAGCTATTGTACACAGGGTTCCTATAGGTCATACTCATCTCGACAGCACCTAACAACAACTGTTTTCTGTAAGATTGTCATTCAGCGTCCTGTTTTAGAGATTCGCCCGGCTCATAGCGTGTCTGGGCAGCAGTCGCTTTTTATTTGTGTGTAGTATTCTGTTGTGTGAATGCACCAGCGTCGGTTACCTGTTACTCTGTTGGTAAACACCAGGCACTTTTCCTTTTTGGCTATCATGAATCATGCTGCTGTGAATATTTTCATGTAAGTCTTTTATAGGCATACTTTCTCATTTTTCTTCAGTAAATATATAAGCAAATGTGAGTTTTAAAATAGGTCTCCAGATTTTTTTCGAAGAATCCATCAAGTCTACATTCTGGTCATCATGTGTTGGCAGTGATGTTGAATTTTGAGTTTATTTTGCGATGTCATTGTGATTTTCTCCCTACTCCCCCATGACGAATGAATGATGTTCAGCACTTTCTCATAGTGCTTGCTCACCATTTAAATGACTAATTCTGTCAAGTCCATTAAAATCGTTTGCCCGTTTAACAACAAAATCCTACAGTGGAGATAAGTACATCGCATCACACTTCAACTAAATTTACATGTAAAATTCAGTCGAGTTGGTGACATTCATTTACACTGTGCCTCCATCACCACTGTCCTTTTCTCACTTTTTTTTTAAATCACTGTTAACCTAAACTCAGTATTATTTCAGTAATAACTTTTTCATTTAAAACCAAAAATCTATTTTATGACATTAATTACAATACCTACAATGGAGACACATTACACTGGGAAAATCTCCAGTTAGGGACTTCTCCAGTCTTGAGGAGTTATGGTGTCTTTTTCAGGACTAAGCTGCGTCTAATTCAGGTCATAGTCTTTCCAGTCACTTGCTGTGCATCTGAGAGCTGGACAATGAATAAGGATGACAGAAAAAGAATTGACACCTTTGAGCTGTGGTGTTGGAGAAGAGCACTGAACTTCCCATGGACGGCCAAGAGAATGAACAGATATGCCTTGGAGAGAGTACAGCCGGAGTGCTCTTTAGAGGCAAGAATGACAAGGCTTCGCCTCACATACTTTGGACTTATTGCTAGGAGGGGCCATTCCTTGGAGAAGGACATGATGTTGGGCAGGGTGTGGAGGGTCAGCGAAGGAGAGGAAGACCCTCAACCAGGTGGATTGACACACAGTGACTGCTACAATGGGCTCTTGTGTGTCAGGAAGTGTGAGGGTGGCGCAGGATAGGACAGGGTTCAGATCTTTTGTTCACAGGGTCACTATGAGTCGTGCTCTATTTGATGGCACCTAACAACAACAACGTCTAACCATCCACTTAGTCCATATTGCCTTTCCCTTCACCCATCTTCTTCTTCTTTGTTATGTCCCATCATGTCATCTGTGACTCATAGTGACCCTATGCATAGCAGCTCTGAACGCTGCCCTTTCCTGAGCCAGTCTCACTAATTCCAACACACCAACTCCCATCTCCCCCGTCACTGTATCAATCCATTTCATCCAGGGTCTTCCTTTCCTGGGCTGTCCCCTCAACCCTTCCGTGTCATGTAGCATAGGGCCCTCCAAATTAGTGCGCGGTGCTTCCCACAGTGGAGTACTGTTCAGTATTGAAAAATAACGCAGTTGTGCAGCACTCGGCAACGTGGATAAATCATTGTCTCAGCTATCGTTTGATGAGAAAAAGGTTTGCATTATTTTTAAATTTATTATTAATTTCAATGAAAATTTACAGAGACTTTGGATTTCCATTCATTCATTTTTGCATTTTTCTCCTCTCCCAACCTTCCCCCTTAGTACACTACCCTCTTGGAAAAGTAAAAGACAAATTCTTTCATTGTTTTACAAACCCTCCCCCAGGTCCACTCCACCATGTAGCCTTTGCTCTAGACTCCTGTCATGACAAAAATACCTAATCACTTATCCCTTTTAACAGTTTTCTCCCTCATCTGTTTCAATGCAGTATCCATTATTGAACCCATCTTTTCTCAGTCTCCCCCCAACCCCAGTGTCAGTCCTGTTTTACAATAGTGGCACCATGCAGTATTTGTCCTTTTGTGACTGAGATATTTCAGTATAATGTCCTCTAGGGTCACCCATTTTGAATAATGTTTAATGAGTTCCTTGTTTTTCAATGCAGCATGGTATTCCATTGTGTGAATATACCACAGCTTCTCTATTCATTCATTTGTTGATGGGCACTTAGGTTGTTTCTAACTCCTTGCTATTGTGAACAAAGCCGCTATAAACATGGGTGTGCATGTATGTATCTGCTTGGATGACAGTTATAGTCCCTTTGGGGTATATTCCCAGTAGTGGAATTACTGGGTCAAATGGTATCTCTATTTGCAACCTTTTGAGAAAGTGTCATACCACCTTCCACAGTGGTTGCACCATTTTACACTCCCACCAGCAGTGAAAAAGGGTTCTAGTTTCTCCACAACCTCACCAGCATTTGTTGCTTGCTGTTCTGTTAAATTTTGCTGTTCTTACTGGGGTGAAATGATATCTCATAGTTGTTTTAAAGGTTTGCATTTTTATAAAATCAAATTTATATGTTTTTCTTATAGCTATTTTGTGTAGTGTCGAGAACCTTTCGCTTCATTTTCTGAAAGTTTTGTAACTTTAGCGTTTAAGTTTATATGGTGCATCTTTAAGTCATTGTTCTGGGTTCTGTGAAGGGAGGGCTGGATGTCACCCCCACCCCCATGTGGGTCTCCAGCTGCTGTTTAAACACCATTTTGTGTTGAAAACTCCCCGAAGTTTTGGCACCTTTGTCAGAAACCAAATGATCATAACTGTGCATTTTCGCTCTGGGCTCTTCTCTGTTCCATGAATCTATTTGCTGAGCTTTCCTCCTCTCCTCCACTGTCTTGATCACAGTTAGCCGCCGTATATGAAGTTAGTGGAAAAGTTTTCTTTTTCTAAGACAGGAATTCTTATGGGAATTGCATTAAACCCACAGATGAGATGAGTCCGTGTCTTTACTGTGTTAAGCCTTCCAGTCCGCGAGCATGCCGGTCACGGCTTTCAATGTGGATCTTTGATGATAATGATTATGACAAATCTCGATTTCTTTCATCAGCATTTTGGCATCATCAGCATAGAAGGCGTTCTAGAAGCTCTTCCAATCGAGTTGTCTTTGCAGAATGTTCTCTGGTATTTGTTTAGCAGGCAGAGCGGTTGACATGGGCAGAGCAAGCCTCATTTACTGCTTTGAACCTTGCGTTTCCTTTGCATGTGCCTGACTCAGGGATCAAATAAAGTCTCGGAGAGGTTAGGATCTGTCCTCTTCTCCTTTCTAAGATCTCCCACCCCAGTTTTCAAGAGTTGTATCTGCCGCCAACCCTGTTCTTTGGTTCTTAGACTAAAAGCTATTAAAAAAAAAAAGGAGAGTGGTTTACCCCATCCCTGTCCCTGCTGATTTCCCTAAACTAAAATTCTGATTTCAGATTGGTCTGGTCCTGCTTGTTGTCCAGTGTGTAGTAAGTGTTTCTTTCAGTATATTTTGGTCAGAAGTCCTACTATCTCTCTGTGGAAGGTTTCAGAAGACAGGCACTCTATAGTCTGTGGTGGTGGTTCCCTTTCAGGCTGTCCTGTCTACTGTATTGATAGCAGGTTCCGTTTTATTGCATTTCTAGCAAGAGGAGCTTGGGCCTCTTCTTTTTTGTTGGAACCAGCTGTGAGAGAGAGCAGTGAAAGACTTTGGTGTTGGACAGAGAAAGTACGACTGTGGGCTTTGCTGTCTGAGTTAGAGAATGAACTTTGGCCACGTTAATAGAACCTATTTTATCTGTACAATGGAAAAGAAAACATTTCTGCCACATATTTATTATAAAGATTAAATAACCAGGCTACTCCTTGGAGGCAAGGATTCTGAAGCTCCATCTGACATACTTTGGGCATGTTACAAGGAGGGATCAGTCCTTGGAGAGGGACGTCATGCTTGGGAGGGTGGAGGGTCAGCACAGGAGAGGAAGAACCTCAGAGAGATGGATTGACTCAGTGACTGGGATAATGGGGGTTGATGTGTCAGCGACAATAAGGTTAGCTCAGGATAGAGCAGGGTTCAGGGCTTGTTGTACATAGGGTCACAGGCAGCTCGATGCCACAGAACAACAGAAGTATAAAGCACTGAGCGTAATGCCTAGTCCCTGAAGGCGAGCTGTTGGTTATCTTGTGAAACTGTAGTGGCCTGATGAAACCCCAGTTCACATCAGTGCCAGTGCCCTCTGCCTGCGCTCACTCTTCCCCTGAAAAACAAGACCTTGTCCCACAGGGTCTTTATAGATGAGGAGCACAACAAAGACGTTTTCTCTACAAGAACCTAGGAGTGAAGATACATGATCATGTTTTACATTTGTCCTGCCAACATGTAGAGTAAAATAATTTCTTATCTGACAGTTTAACAACTTTGGAATGTGGATAAAAATGAATAGCGGTGTTTTTTGGTTTTCTTTTTCTAGGAATCTGCTCCTCAAGTAGAAAATTACTGTCTGCCGGAAGCCATTTCTTTTCTTCAGAATAATGAGCTTGAGCCTGGATCATCACAGAAGAGGAAAGCTCCTGCAGAGACTAATAAACTCAAACGGCCTCGGATACAGTAGCGCTGTCTGCTGGGCAGTTACCAAGCAGCGCATATGTCTTGAAAGGAAAAACCCAAATTTCACCATGATGGATTCGTATAGTGACTTACAGGCGAGCGTATGAAGAATTCTGCTTCTGACTAGATTGATGACTCAGGTTCAAGTGTGTTTTTAATTAACACCTGGAATTTTAATCACTGAAAGATTAACTGTTCCTTAAACAGTTACCTGAAATAACAACAATTATCTTAACTCCTAGCTAGTCATTAAACTGTATTAAAGTGTGTGAGGGACTTTTTTGTTTCTTATTCTTTTGAGTATCTGAAGCCATAGCTTAGTGACAATTTTAGCAAAGTGATGAATTTTTCCTTTCAAGAGTATACCTCACGGGAGCTAGCATTTGGAACTTCCTGATGTGTTTTCCATGATTTTTATCATCTGTTTTACCTCCTTTTTACAGGAGCCTGAGCACAGTGTTTAATGAGGAGGCCGGGACTCTAAACTTAAATGTGTGTATATATGTATATGTATGTATAAATCTCCATGATGTTTGCCAAGTTTGGCACCTAAAACTTGAAAAATAAGACAATAAAGAATAAAAATAGTAATTCAAATTAGTGCAAAGGTAGGTATATGGACATAAGTGAAAGTTTTAAAAAATTTTAACTTTTTTTGTTTTTTATTATTATTATTAATATTAATTTAAATGAAAATTTACAGAAACTTTGGATTTCCATTCATTCATTATTGTATTTTCTCCCCTCCCAAACCTTCCCCGCCAGTACACTACCCTCTAGGAAAAGTAAAATTCTTTCATTGTTTTACAATCCCTCCCCCCATATTTTAATTTTTTTTATTATTTTGTGTGTGTACCATCAAATCAGATCTGACTGGTACAGGAGACTGCCCCTCTTTCTCCAGCAGACCATCTGGTGGATTTGAACCGCGTGCCTCTGGGATTTCAGTGCAGCTTCTTGCCACTAGGCCACCAGAGCTCCCTAAAGTTTTTTATCCATTCTCTTGTTGTTGAAGTCAGAAGAGATTTTGAGAACTGAGCTTAAAAGGCTGGTTGTATAATTCTGATATTTTTTACTTAGAAAAGTGTTCTTTTTGTTTCAAAAACCTAGTTTCTTTTAACTACTCTGTTAGCCTTTATCATGCACATTTTAAGCATCAGATGCCATGTGCATTACTACAGGTCTATAGAGCTGCCACAGTTTGCCAGGCTCGTTACCACCACAATTTTGATATAAACTGTTCCGTTCTAATGACTGTTGGAAAACAAACTAAATAGTAAAAGGTAGAAGTCCTCTTCCTGAACACAAAAGCCTGGACATTTGTATCAGGTTGGGGTTTTTCCTTTTCCATAAAGCAGTGAGAGGCGCTCCTGCCCTTCAGGAAAATGGACCCTTCAGAGCTTTTAGCGCCTTCACAGAATAGGGCGAAGCTGACTGTTCTGTAGTGAGGTCCGTAGCACCACGAGAGCGGCATACACCCGTCCCCACCAGCCACGTGGGCCTGGCTCTGTCAGAACAGTTTTGTGTTAGTTTTGAGTTCTTTTCTAGGCAGTTTGCAGTAAATTTCTATGAACATTTATGTATGTATGTATTTTTTTTTATAACAATTCAACTTCCAGTAAACAACAAAACCACCAAGATCCAGCAATTCATACAATTGAAGGTCTCACTCTCACAAACAGGGAAAACAGAAACTCTGAAAACAGGATTCTGGGCATTGATGACTGCAGTAACAACTGAAATTTAATTCTATTTAATAGTTACCTAGACACAATTGTTAGCCTCTGATGATCACATATAAAATAAGGGGAGAAAAGGGGGAGCCATTCATAAATACATACACATAATAAAGAGAAAACATAGAGAGCTGCCACACAGGCTGGTGAGATGTCTCCCTCCCACAGCTCTTGTCCCTCCACTGTGCGTTCAGACCTCCTTTGCTCAGTCAGGCCTTCAGGTGCCTTGCATTCTCTGTGGGTGAAGGAGTCCATTATTTCTAAAGAGCTGAGTCTCCAGTTAGCTCACGTCAGCTCGGTTTTTTATGTTTCCTGCTTGTGTTTACCGTGAGCATGGAAGTCAGAATCCCTGAGAGTCCTTGAAGTTGCAGCCAGAAGCCTCTGCCCTCCTTGTGGGGGAGCAAGCCAGTCTCCTGGGTAATGAGCTCAGTGAGTGCAGCCAGGGTTCTGGCCCCGCTCCTTGCCTGTTGGTCAGGTGGCACGAGGAGCCCTAAATGGCTCGCAGGCCGTGTGGTCTTCGTGGTCAGTGGGACCAGAGTTCTGTCCCCTATATAGGAAGCATTCTCGGCATGGGAATAACACCTCCAAACCGGCAAAGCCCCCAGGTGCCAGAGCAGAAAGCTAACATTCAGCCCGAGGGTCATTAGCTTTAGTGGTCAGGAAACCCAGCTGCTCTTTGGTTCAAAGGGAACAAGGGAGAGGACAGTATCTCAGCAGGGGTCTGTCAAATGCTATGTCCCCCGAGAACCCAGCTGTGTGCTCCCCACCAAAAGGGTCTTCAGGAAGCACTGACCCTTCCAGTCTTGCTATGTAGCCTTTTTAAGGAAGTTCTCCATCTAGATCAAACAATGAATGTGAATGAAACACAAAGTAGACAAATTGTGTATAAAATAAAATAATAAAACGTTTACGTGGACATGCTTGAGACCTTTTGCATTTCTTCAGTTAAATAAAGAAACCGAGACTCTCAGGGGCATCTCTAAAAGAGTGTAAATTGTCAGAGTGACAGTTCTAGATCGCCAAATGGATAACACATGGCCCCCAAATTCATCAGCAGAGCCAAGGTCACTGGCTTTCAGCATTAACGATGTCAACTACCCATCAGTCACTGCCTGGAATGAGTTTCACTTGAAGATGTACAAACCGACTGGTTTGTAAATCTGGGCCAGATCTAGTATATTGAAAGGATTTGAGATTGTAAGAAATCTCTTTTGCAGGGGATTATAAGTATGTAGTTAAATGCTTTTTTCATTCATTGTTGCCCGTTTTCTTTGCTCTTCCTCCAGTCCACTTCGCAGTGGACTTATTCCACCTTATTCTAGATGGCTGTCATATGTAAGAATATCTTCTTTTAAAATGTGGACTGATTTGTTAGTGGTCTGGTCAAAGACATTTAAAGGACTCACATTCCTCAATGGAGAATTTAGATTTGTTTTAGACTTTTAAAAGGAATCAGACTTTTCATTTCCCTCTCTGAGGAAAGGTTTGAAATATTTTGGTTGCTGTGTCTTCCAGAAACTTCCATTAAAATATAAACAGTAATCTTTCATTTAGATGAAAATGCATCTCTTTTTTAATTAGTAAATAAAATTTTTGTTTTTAAAAA